AAAGGATAAAAACAGACTGTCGGTGTTTGAACACCGGTGTCTAAGCATCATTGCAGGAATCTGGTGGGGCAACTGGACAAGTAATGCTGACGTTAGACGTAGTTTTAGGTAATCACGGTGCATGGTTACTGGTTGTACACATTGAAACTGAACTGAAAACAATCGATCAACAAGAACAACTTTACAGAGAAACTGATCCGTGAGAACACAAGTCATTTGACAAGATAAGTCAAAGGCAAAGTCATAGCATAAAATCATACGAGGTAAACAATCAATAAATTATAATTGCAAAAAGATACCTGCTGGTCGAAGAACTCTTCCACAGTCATAGTTGGCAAACTGGGGTAGCCTGTACCAAAGACAGCTGCTTGCACGGCATTCCGTGTGAGGATGAAAGGTTTTGTAAGTTGTGGATTTCGTTTCTCAGTTTCTTCAGCTTGCTTTAGTTGTTCGGGGTTCATAACGAGAAACTGTTCTTCCTGGACCAGGGTTTGTAACTCTTCATTTACAAGGTACATCCAGCGGCGAACCAGTGTTAAGTTATAGTCGCGCTGAAAAAAGAAAAGATCATAGAATGATGAGAATGAGAAGTTAGTGAACCAGTCAGAAAATCACAGCTTTTCTTGAATGTTTTTCGAAGAAAGCAAACAGTAATTTATTATCTATAGGATACATTGGATTTTTGGAACAGGGAAACCCGTTAAACAATCCATGATTGTATTTTGAGAAAGTAGAATGACCCCGGGTTTGCCAGGTGTTCTTGTATTGCCATTCTCGTGCACGATCATAACCCGATAGAGGCTGAGTTGACCTCCTAGATTTGTCGCATGGATGCTTTCTAGATGCCGTATTGTGCAGAGATTTACTCCTGGTGTAGTTGAATAAAGTTCCCGATGAATGCGAATGTTGGTGTGGAACGGCGGTAAGAGTAAGGAGCGTTAATAAGCAATTGTGTTTACGGTATAGACAGGAGCGAAAAACCTGAGCTCATAAACTGAACACAGTCTGGCTGTTTGCGTTGTAGGCGTTCGGTCCATAGTAGGCCTTATTGGAGGGTGTATTCTAGCTTTAAAGCAACCCATGGCAACGACGGTTTCAGCAGTAGCGTTTTAAGTCAGGTTCTTGTTTTATTGAAGGCTGATAAGCCGATTGAGATTACTTTCTGTTCCCCACAAGCTGATTNCATCTCTAAATGTAGTGGCATTGTCAGGGATAAACTGGCCGATTTTATCAATGACAGACACCTACAAGCATGTGAAAATTTCGCTGCCAAAATACTCTCAGACACTCACCACCCATTACACAATGAATTTTCAAAAGCTGTATCTGCATCATCCACAAGCTCAAGATTTAAACTTTTATTTGCACGTGCCTGTGCTTATCGCAATTCTGTTCTGCCATATCTAGCACGTCTACTTATAGACAAGGACAACTTCCACAAAATTGCGCAATTGCTTGCTTTATTGAGAAACACAATATCTACTGCTTTCGTTGTGTTTACTATGTACGATTTTGTAACTCTGAATCCACAAATATGGTGTAATTGCTGAAAATACACCCATCCGGGTGCATAAAGCTACTACTGACTTGACTCCATACATTTTCTCCTTGGTCCTTCAACGCACCGTGCCATATCGCTGTATTTTACGCACAAATACTCTACTTTTCCAGGTCTCTCCGATTTGTTACGTTTATGTAGGCTGCTGAGATAACGTTGCCGCATCGAACGGTTGAACCGCGTTTGCAGCGTCCCTAGTCGTTTAGGCGTTTCTTATGAACTACGTGGACGGATTCGGTAGTCCTAACACAAGCACGAACCGTGAATGACAATCAATGCCTTCGTGGATGCGTCGATCAAAATCTTCACCCTTCGACAGCTTCTAGAGCACTGCCATGCTTACCACAGACCTATGATCATTATGTTCTTAGACATACGCGCGGCCTTCGACTCTGACAACAGGGCCGCAGTATTAAACTGTTGGTTTATAAATGGAGTACCTGAGAAGTACGTGTTGATCGTCAAAGAGTTGTATCGACATACCTTAGGTCGGGTTAGGGCTTATGGTCAGCTTCTACCACCCTTCGCCATTTCCAGTAGAGTTTGACAGGGGTGCCCTATATACCCATTCCGTTTCAACTTTGTCATAGAGGATCTTCTACAGAATGCCTAGTCTAATCTATCAAATGGTAAAGTTGAATTCCTCCCAGGAAACAGAGTCTTTGACTGAGAATATGCCGATAACATCGCCTTGCTAGGTGACAACACACAGACAGTCCAAGAGGCTTTGAACCGCTTGGCGATCGAGGTATCCAGGTATGGTATGAACTTGGCACCCTCCGAATGCAAATTGCTTGTATAAGACTGGCAGGCGCCTGTGTCTGCGCTCACCCTCTGTTGTGATCGGTTGGAAGCGGTTGAGAGCTTTAAGTACCTCGGAAGCTCGATCACAGCTGGTGTTGGGGAGAATATCACATCACGAATAGCGAAAACCAGAGCAGCTTTCGCCAACCTGTGACACCTGTGGCGTCCCCATGATATCCGACTGTTTCTAAAGAGAAGTGTCTATACCGGTTCGTAACGGTTCGTAGCCTTCTACTTTACTGTTGCGAGGCCTGGTCCCTCAGCATCGAGGAGGCTAATTGACTTTCCGTAATCGACCACCGATTTCCCCGAAACATTTTTCATCTCTGGTGGGAACATGGGGTGAGCAATGCAAGATTCGTCGTCATGTGCTGGGTGTGCACAGTCGCTTTCTAACAGAAGTAATCGCTTTACACTGCCACCGATGACTTGACCATGTTTTAGATATGCCTACCCACCGGTTAACTTTCGGTGCTCTCTTGACACGTGTTGGGCAAGGCTGGAAGAAGCGCCGCGGCTGTTAGAACATGACATGGCGTAGAGGTATGAACAAGCTGGCTTCTGTTTTGGCTTCAATGGGTGCAGCTCACCTTCCAGTCTGAGGCCCAAGGGATGAGGATTGTCGTATTTTAGAGACGCAGAGAGATATGTTCTCGAATAAAAGTCAGTAGCGGGAATGCTGTACGATTTGCTTGTTGAAATCCCGCGCCCAATAAAAAAACGATAAACTAACACAAAAATATCAAAAATTGTACGATGAAACAAACAAAGAAAAATTGTTTTTCTCTTTATTCATCTATCTGACCCCGTTTTACACTGCTTTATATCACACCCCACCGCATTTTCTGTAGTTCTTTTTGTTACGTTGGCACCAAGCTTGCTCGTAAGCCGGTGATACATATGTATATAATATACAGTGCTGCTCCAGGTGGGCCAGTGGCCAATTAGGTGGCACATTCCCCTCAATTGAAGAACCTTGTTGGGTAAGTAAAACTCGAAAAGGAGCTACGGTTGTATTCACCGGTATGACATATTTGCTACGTCACAGTGATTCCACAGACATGTGTGGTGTTTTCTGGTGAGAACCCTTGCTAAGCGGTAAGCCTACTACATCCTCGATCGTCCACGGCCACTTATCCAGTGAGCCCATGCCCATCTTATACTCGGTTAGGTGCGAATCAGCTGCTGTTCTCATATCCACGGCCTGAGGATGAGATCAGTAGTATACCTTTCTGCTCTCCTAAACAAACCTAACGATTAAAGAAGTAAAACAATAAAGGTAGTAAGTACCAAGACAAGAATAGTTAATAATGATTGAAAGGTCAAGGAAAACCAGATCATTAACTAGCCACCATCATTTTACAGTGCAATACAGTGAAGCGAACCTCACTGACCTCGGCCAAACTGATAATGCATACAAAGGAAGTGAGAACGTGCAAGAAGGGTAGGTATTGGGTCTATTTTAAGGACAGGAAAAGGTGAACCTTTTTGGTTAGCACAGAGTACACAGTCGAACTGTGCACACACGTTTTCAAGCAATATGGTCTGATAAGAAGTGGCACCAAGATTGCTACTGCTGTCGGTTTGCTGCCATGACCTTCAGTGTCTCCAACCACCTGGTAAGGGAGTCTTTTGGATCCCAACCCCGAAGACCAGAGACATCTACTCTACCTAATCGCTCTGTGCATTTCTTCATACCTCATCTCCGTCATCTGTTGGCCTACACGTGGCTTTCTCCAGTCTGAAGAGGCCACTGTAAATAAGGCGCGGCGCGGTAGTTGACCGTTAGACATACGTAAAACGTTTCCTAACCAACGGAGCCTACTACGCTGAGTTCGATGCGACAATCAACTAGCAGGAATGTAAGAGGAAGTCAACTTAGGGGCATAGTGGTGTAAGTCAAGTGAAGTTTCCATTTGTTATCCCAGGGTTTTTCCGAGTCTACGGTTGAAGGTAACAGACTTTGTGTCGTGAACGGCAGCACCTATACGACCTCTCATTTGTTCTACGTAAATAAACATTTCACATTATATAAATTATGATCAGTAACAACCCTGAACTTTGTCTTTCCTCATCCAATGACCACATGACAGCAAAAAAAGCAAGGCCGAAGCTCGAAGTGCCGCAGTTCATGACTGTATCAACTAATATAGACATGAAACGAGGTATGGCATTACTAAATAAGCATGGCATCATAAAGGAAATCGAGTGAGACCGAAATGAATCAACCGCATAATTTCGTATCAGCGAAGGATGAAGTAGTTCAAAGAAATAATAATATATGGATGATTCTAATGATTACAAGACCACACTTCCCTCGGAATTCAAGTTATTTATTTCTTTGAAGTTATTCTGTGAGATGTTGTCAGAAAAAATGAGAAACTATGACAAGAATTTCACAGAATTGAAATAAAAATATTTGAACAGAAAGATCAACACCTACTTTAACTTCTTCGTCTACGTGTGGTTGATCGACGTAGGATGCCATTTCTTCCAGCTTTTGCTCAAGAGCCTTCTTTTCTTTGTATTGTTTAATTTTGGCTTCACGTTTTGCAGCAGCCGAGCTGTAGGAGTCGCCGTCACCCGAGTGAGTGCTAAAAGCAAAATGATCAAGATCGAATAATTTAGTTATGTCTAGGAAGNCTCGATGGATATATATATATATATATTCACGAACCACCGAAGTAAGAAAAATGTGATCACAGTTTCTACAACCCTCTGCACCACGTTATAGGTTGCCTATCTCGTCATTCATTCCAGTCTGATCCGTCTGTAAATAAAAGAGTAGAGCAGACGTTGACCAGGCGTTCGTAGAGCCTCAGTCATCTCAAACAGTGCATTGCAATAGTTTAGCTTAGCAAGACTATCTACCTCCAACACAATTCATCTAACTCCAGCATTACTTACGCGATGCTTCCACTATACGCGTGTGATGTTGCGCAGGCAACGGCTATCTAAATCATAGCAGTGGACAAAAACGGCAGGCACGATAAAATGACCCGGCCTAGCCGGCAAGTACAAATCGATCATCGCTGATCACTGAGTTTCTGTGCCTATCGCACCGCCAGTGAAGAGAAGGGACAAGATGTAGGTCCCTCGATCTTGTAGTCAAACACTACAACCAGAAACTAGACTACACTATCTACAACCAGACTGAAAGCGGACACCTGTGTATTCAGGATAAGTGCTATTCGGGTCAGCGTTAGCGCACAAGCAACATCCTGTGAGAATGACGAGCGACGAACTCTGCTGCGTATGATATCAAACTAACGAGACAAAGTCTTCGTTTCGCGATGTCTTAACGCTTAGCAGACCGAGACTATCAAAATGCTCCTCATGAATGGACCGACAAGGCGCTATCGGAAGTTTTCCATGGCAGAGAATTATCACCAAACGTGAATAGGGAGAATCGATGGCACGCCGAGCACAAGCCAGTCCTACAATCTCTAACGACAACCAAGGGCAAGACTGGCGATGTCTCGAAGTGGTAGCACAACTGGGTAGAAATGACTGTCTTAGACCAACTGACGAAGAGATTAGGGAAAAATGAATCCATTTGAACCAAAGGTACGGCTTAACAAAAGCTTTAGTTGAGGGAAGTTAACCAGGGAGTAGAGCAACACTAGAAGCAAAGCAGGCAAACCAGAAGGCTATAGCGGACATGAAAGCCCTGATGCGCCATAGAGGGTTGGGAAACCACCACGATAGAAGGCTGGAGCACGAAGGGCACAAGGAACAAAAAGGAAATATTGGAGGAATTTTATAGCAACCAGCGAGCACCCGAAATTCTGGAATACAAGGTAGTCCGGAAGACAGTAATGAGTGGTTTATGAGCAACAATCAGCTATCATTGCAAAACTCGATCCCAAGGTTTTCTTTATCCGAAACCCAGATAAGGACGAGTGTGGAAAGTATAAACCATTACTCAAGGGATCCAAACTGGCAAGGCAAAACACATCGCTGCTTTTCTAGAGCAAGCAAAAGCAATATACGGGACAATTAACTCGACCTTGACGGAAGCTGTAAGCCGAAAGATACCTGAAACAGTATTTTCGGAAGAGCAGAAGTTGACCAATCCCAACCGAGTTAAGATTGCAGGACAACCCGCACTGACTGAGGTCCTACCAACATCTGCCAAACAATTTCAACGAACCTTAGCGCGTACTACGTTCCTAAGGAAAGTGATCATAGTCACCCTTACCGATAAGTTCAGTTTAGTTTTTACAACCATTAACCATTCGACCTTCGTGCGCCGATTTTGGTTGCGGTCTTTTGGGACCCCATTCGGTTAAACGAGCAGAACAAAGATTGGAATGGTGGAAGCAAATTCAAGCGGGAAATGGAGAATTCAAATACGATGGGGTTGGGGGAAAAATGACTGGATGAACGAGCGCCATTGTTTGCGTCAACCAGCCTTTTCACTCAAGGTCTCCAACTAACGGTGACCACGACCTAAAGGTACCCAGCCAGGGAGCCAGAGCGGGCCTAATTCAAACAGTTACCTGGTTAGCGTTTTCATACCCTCATGCCAGCTCTTAGCTTGACCGCCCTTCATTTTTTCCAACCGCTACC